GCGCGCGGCGGGAGCAGGCGCGGGACGGCGGTGCGCGGAGCGGGCGTGCGCACGAAGCCGCCCGAGCGCGCCAGGAACCGGAGTGCGCGGGACATGGCGAGGGCGCGGGGATGGGGGGGGAGGGAGGAGCGCGCGCGGAGACGAAAGCGCGAGCGGCCACTCAGTGGGCCAGGATCAGCATGGGGGGGCAGAGCCTGCCGCTAGCGGACCAATGAGCAACCTGGATAGGGGCGGCGGTGGACGGGCCCGAAGCCAATAGAAAAGCAGCAAAAAGGGCAGCGCAGGGGCGGGGCTGGATTCTCCGCCCCCTTCTCGCGCAGGTAGTGGTGGGCGAAAGGTACGCGTGGAGCTGCTGCGCACACGCATGCGCACTTGCAGCAGCGAAGCCGTCGACCTCCGTGTGGCCGGAGTGGGGCGGGACAGAGCAGGGCGAAGGCGGGGGAACTTCCCTGAGGCGGCTGCCGGGTGTATGATAATTACTGTATGAATATTAAAAGTGTTCAACACGTACAATAAGCAGCAGCTACCCCCGAGCTTGCGCCGGTTGCCAGAATGCACGGTGCTGGGGGAAGGCAGTAGGGCCAGGAGCGCAGCGTGCGCAACCGAAAGCAGCAGCTCGCAGAAGGGCCGCACGTGGAAGCTGTCAGCTGCTGGAAGCTGCGCGCTACCCCTGTCACACTTCCCCTGTGTGCACGGGAGCAGCGTAAAAAAGTCCTCCTGTACATGACGTGACGTGCGTGGGGCGGGACGAGGTGTCCCTAGGAAGAGTGGTGAAGCACGCCAATAAGTTTGGGGAGGTATTCGGAGCGAGAGTGAACGTGGACAAGAGCATAGTCCTGGCGGTTGGGAATTGGGGGGATTTAGGGAAATTTGGACTGAAGGTGGAAAGGGAGGAACTGAAAATACTGGGCGTGTGGATGGATACCCAGGGGGAAGGGAAACGGGCTTGGGAAGTGTTAGAGGGGAGAGTAAACCAGACAGTGGGGTTGTGAGGTTTATCATCAAGGGGTAAGGTGCAAGTGATCAAACAGTGTCTGTTGCCGATGATCTTGTACATGGCGATGGTGTACCCCCCGTCCTGGCTACGGGTCCAGCGGGCATTATACCTCTTTTGCGGGGGGAAGACAGAGAAGGTAGCCAGGACAGTGTTATATAAGGGGGAAGGGCTGGGGGATGGGGTCTCCCCAACATAGAGGTCTTTGTTTATGCGCACTTTTTGAAGATGGTGGTGACGGAAGCGAGGAGCGAACAGAGAATGGTTTCCAGCCTTGGAATTTTCTGGGGGGGAAGACTCCTACAAAGGCTGGGACTGTTTGGGAGCGGGTGGCAGGGGGCATGGGCGTGGCAGATGTCGCTCCCTTATGTGCGCCTTGGATCCTTTGTTGCAAGGGAAGGCTTGGTGGGGTTAGGGATCGAAGGGCTAGCGGATGCCAGAAGAGTCCTTAAGTTCATGAGGGGGAAGCAGAGAATGTCAGGTGTCGGGGATTTGAGAACGGAGAAAATCAGCAGAGTGTGGAAAGGGCTGCTAGGGAAGGAATGGAAAGGGGAGCATGAGGAGCTGGCGTGGAGGGCCGTGCAAAACGCACTGCCAGTGCGACAGGTGCTGAATCGATGGAGACTCTCACAGTTCCCCAAGTACCCAAGAGAAATCTGTGATGAGCCTGAGTCGGTGGCACATGCCTTGCGGGACTGTTTTTATGCACAAAAGGTGTGGGGGAAGGTAGCCACCTGTTTGAAGGAGACAGGAAGGGGAACAGGAATCACTATCGAAAATGTTCTCTATGGGTTAACAGAGGGGACGGATGGGTCATGGGGTGTGAGGGTCCTTATCACATGCACCAAGGTAGCACTATGGAAAGTGCGTTCCCTGTTGGCACTAAAGGGCTCGTGCTTTTCAACATCAGAGTGTTTGCAGTTAGCAATGCATTAGCTGCATTTCTATAGAGGTAGAGGAAAGAATGGGCCAGGAGGAGGGGATACAGCGCTCTGGCAAGGGCTGGACTTCAGGGAGTTGCGTCAGCCCCGTATAGGTATAGGATAGACTAAGGGACAGCTTTCATTGTCAGAAAAAGTGGGCAAGGGCTCTGTCAGTACCTCGTGTTATGTATCGATGCGTGAACCTGTATTTGTATAAGAAGCAAGGGTAAGATTTTCACTGGATAACACTGGAGTTTTAAGCAAAGTGAATGAGATGTCGTTTATCATGTGAGTATTATATAGTTTCTTGAAATTGTATTTGCATTCTCTTTGTGAGGCTTCAGTTGAGGTCCTTTTTTAAATCCGTTTGATATAGTCTGTTTTCTAATAAAATGTTACCAAAAAAGGGTGCCAGTGGGCTAGTGCTGCCTGGGATGTACTACCACCATGGAGGGAAGCACCGGGATCCCCTGCAGCTCAGGGGCTGCATGACCCATTGGCAGCTCACTCCCTGGCTGTGGGAGATGCAGGCAGGCTCCAGGAGAAAAAGAGATAGACAAGGCCCCTTGCTGCCTTTTTTTTCTGCCCACACAAGTTGCCACTGGGTCATGAGTTGTACAGTGGCCCAGTGCTTCCCTCCATAGTGGCAGTGCCCCCTGGGGTGCTAGCTGTGCAGGCGCAGCCCCAGCTCACAGACAACACCCATCAGATCCGATGGTGCACAGGGCGCTAGAAGCCCAGGCATGCTCAGGGAAACTAGTCATTTAAATCAAAATACGCTACTGAACATATACAGTTACACAATTAAATCATTAAAAAGGGCAATTAAACCACTAAAAGGGACAATTTCCTCACATGTACAAAGGCCCTTATTCATGTGTACAAGGGCCCTCTTATTTTATGACTATAAACAAGTCACAAGGTCAGACTTTGGACAAAATATGTATTTATATTTCTAAGCCTGTGCTTAGAGATGGATAGCTTTATGTAGCCTTTTTGACAGTGAGAAGTTTTGATTTTATTCAGTCAAAAGATCTCTAAAAATCCTGCTTTTAAAGAAATACTTTTGCAATCAAAATGTAATCACAAATGTTTTGTGGGTTTCAGCTAGCATGAGCAGTAATATGCTTCAAAGTTCACTTCAAGTATCCAAGCACTGAAAAAAGGATGTTGGAAAGAATATATGCGTTATAATCAGAGATCTGGGTTCTCCATTTACCACAGAAAAACCACAGTAAAAGGCATATTTTCTCTTTTTAATTAGAAAAACACAGGAAACATCAGGTTTCCCCTTGCAGGCTGACAGAGTTCCAGCCTGCAAGGGGCTGGGGAGAGCGGGAAAAGGGTGATCAGGCAGGGGGCACCATGTGCACAAACACATACACACATGCACATGGCCGCTAGGCAGCCTGGAGAGCAGCTCCTCCCCCCTGCTGCCCATATGTGCACAGCAGATATCCAAGGATCTTGCAGCGTGGAGAACAGCTGAATGTGCAGTATGTGGTGCTGCAGACTTGTTGAAAAAGTGAATTTTTCAACCAAAGTAATTCAGCATTAGAAACATTTACCAAGGCAAACGGTAATTAAGTAGTAATGATTCTAAACAGGCATGTCAGCAGATTCCTTGCCTCTCAGTAAAATAAATCCCCTGGAGAGGAGATGCTCCAGGAATGGAACTCCTAAGACGTTGGAAGTAAAAAACAGAATAAGCCTGGATAGACCGTCAATAATATCTTCTCTCCTCTCAGGGGTGATGGGACAAACCAAATGCCAAGATTAAATGGTATTAGAGAGGCTTCCATAACTGGGGAGAAGATGCTATTCTTCAGAGCCAAAACTCCCATATTCTCTCTCTCTAAAGCTGTGGACGGAGGAAGCTGTGGTAAGCATGAGAGCCTTGGCTTGGATCTCTCCCCAAAGCCCAGGTGAAAGAAACCCAGAGCTACCAGTGCAAAGCAAAGCAATAAAAAACCCCACACAACTACCAGTTTTAAGTTTATTTAACTTTAACTGGGCATTCAACATTTAAATCTGAGGAAGCAATGGAGAAAACAGGTACATTCAAAAGTAAAGGAATGATTCTTTTGATTCAAATTCAGAAAGTCATTTACAGGCCCTTTGTCAGTTGACTAGGAAACTAAATGTATGCATATATACAAGTACAGTATTCATGATTGTCCCTAACTAGCAGTCAAGATGTGTTTGCATATCAAAGTTCCATAATGTATACTTAACACTCTATATTGTTGAAATAATAAGTTGTCAGTGTTTTGTAACCATGTTAAGCTATAACATTTAGAAAAGTCTTTTCTGTAAGGCTAACCCTTTGTTCTTTGTGAAGAGAAAAAAAACCCTTTTCCTAATGAATGCACTATTTCCCCCTTTCTTAGAAAAAATAATGGTACTCAACTGAAATAGTCTCCAAGTTTCATTTTCTCAAATCTTTTGGCATAGGTAATAAGAATGTATTTGGCCTATTCAACGTGCTCTGAGTGTAGGCAATTCTCTCAGAACTATTTACTTCAAAGTAAAATAAACCACTTTCTTAAAATAAAAATGGGGGTGGTCTACTATGTACAAATGCAAAGTTAGGAACTTTAATTTCTAAAATTAAAGTCTGGAAAGTCACAGTTCATACTATCATATTTATATACATAAATAATTTGCAGAAAGGCAGAGTTAAGTGTTGTTCGGAGCATAATTTTGAAACTATCCAATTAAAAAAAAAAATCAGTATCTGAAGCTGTATGTGGCATTAATCCTTTAACCTTTAATTTTTAAAATGAGGGAAATTGAATGCACATTTCAAAAAAGTGCACAAAGTTTATTCCAGTGCAAATATGCAGATAAAGCTAAACACTGCAACACACATACAGGAGTGTTTTAGATTTTATTTAGGCATGAACAATTTTCACTTTTTTTTTTTTACATGAGTATGCATATAAGGCATTCTGCACTCCAATTTCATAGTTATATGCTAGCCAAGCAAAGCATCAGGTTGATTAATCTCTAGGATGGTATTCTTCATCTGTCACTCATGTAACAGCACTTTTTAAACACACAATATAAATTGTTCATATACAAACTCTGGCATACGTTTCCATAAACTGATTTACACAGCCAACAGTCATTAGTAAGACCGAATAGCAGGTGGAACTGTTGCGCAATCTTCTTCATTTAAAGTATGATCAATTACAGGTCTGTATTCCAAAGTAACCTAAAAACAATGCAGAGAGTGTCTTAATTAGGGCCCAGCAAATTGTCATATCCAAAACAAGACAGAATAGAAAATACTGGCAATCTAATGAAGAATCTCTTTAAAAAAAAAGAACTGGGACTGGTCTAATTCACTTCTGTAAAATGTACAGGTGGTAAGAGCTATCTAGAAGAATCTCTAATTTCTATTCTTTAAAAGTTCATGGAAAAATATTTTACAGGTAAAACAAAAAATGAAGGAAAAAACCCACCACAAAGATCTCTGGCTTCTCCTTCTCCCCATTAAAAAAAATTGATGATACTCGGTTTTCAGCAGAAAAATTATTTTAGATAAAAATGTTTCTTTGAAAACAAAAAAGTTTTGGCCAATTTTAATAATGAAGATTCCTTGCTAGAATCGGCTATGAAAATGAGTACAGGCGACCCTCGTCATTCACGAGGCATAAATTCTCATATCCCCTGTGAATGGCAAAATCCACGAATAAGCTGGTGTTT